AGTTTTTCTCCCTCGTTTAGTCGGACGTAAATGCATGGATCGGCAGTCGATTGTAAAAATCCGTTCTTTCTCATGAATGAGTGGAACTTGCTGTTCCAGCACCGGGGAGACTGCTTGAGTCCATATAGAGACTTCTTCAGGCGACAGACACGACCAGTTCCGTCATCGAAACCTTGTGGTTGAGTCATGTAGATTTCTGCATCGATTTTTCCATACAGGAACGCAGTTTTGACGTCGAATTGACCCAGCACAAACTTCTCTTCAGCTGCGATTGCAATAAATGCTCGAATTGAGTCGTAACGAGCAACCGGGCTGAACGTTTCGTCATAGTCGAGTCCCGCGCGTTGAAAAATGCCACGAACAACCAAACGAGCACGGTATCGATCAACTGAACCGTCAGATTTGTGTTTCACTCGCAGAACCCAACGATTGTCGATAGCGCGCTTTCCCGGTGGCAATTTTACCAAGTCCCAGGTATTATTTTCTATGAAGGCATCCATTTCGTCGTTCATCGCGCGCTTCCACTTATCTGAATGCCGATTTTTCATAGCTTCACTGAAGTTTATTGGCTCCAAATCATCGTGGACCGCTTCTGTCGAACATTCCAAGGCAACCTTTTTCTCAGAGCGACGAGTTTGGTGACCCACTTGGTAGTCTCCTAACCTCACAGGTGGATGAATTGTACGAGCTGGGCGTTGTGCTGGAACCTGGGAAAGAGCCGGTTCCTTTGCAGAAATGTTTTCATCGTTGCCACTTTCAGGCGTGTCATCTGCGTCCTGAAAATCGTCATTTGGTTCTCTCTCGTCATCTGACTCTCCATGGTCGATGTCATCATTATCGTTTTGGCTGGCCTCAACGTTACGGTGAATTTTGAATTCAAGGTCGATTGTCTTGTTTGTTGTACAAAGTTTTTCTGGACGAAAATCGACGTCACGTGACTTCATAATGCGGTGCTTTGACGGTACCCATACCTTGTAACCATCTTTGTCGTTGACGTAGCCGACGAAGTGACCCAGAACAGCTTTAGGGTCAAATTTTGATCGGAACTGTTTTGGTACGTTCACGTAGCACTCTGTGCCAAAAATTCGCAAATGATCAAAACTGTCAAATTTCCTGCCTGTCCATAACTCGAACGGCGTTATCCCTGGAACACGCGACTTGCCTGTGCGGTTGATCAGGAATGTAGCCGTGTCACAGGCGTGAGCCCAAAACGATACTGACAGCCCACTGACAGTCAGCATCGAGCGTGCCAGTTCAACAACGTGACGATTCGATTGTTCCGCAACACCGTTCTGTTCAGGTGTGTACGGACACGATGGTCGAAACTCTATGCCGCGTTCGCACAACAGTTTCAGTACATCCTGACACTCGAATTCGGTACCGCAGTCCGAACGAAAAGTTTTCACTTTGTGTCCTGCGGTTTCGCACTCGTTCAAAAAGGTCATCAAATGTTCAGTCACTTCCGATTTGTGTTTCATAAAAAACACACGAACGAACCGAGAAAAGTCATCTTTAAAGGCCACATAAAACCGGAAACCGTGGATCGAATCGATTGTCATTGGTCCGTTCACATCTGCGTTGATAAGCTCACCTACGACGTTTGGGCGATCAAAACGCATGCGAAACGGTTTACGATGTGATTTTCCAAGAACACAACCGTCACAAAACGACGCAGCATCAGAGCACTTGACAGGAATATCGAAACGAGATAAAACTTCACGCACATGACGTTTGTCTTGATGTCCGAGTCTTTCATGCCAAGCTTGTAGTACGTCAGCTGATGTTGCAAGATTAGCTTGTACAATCACATCCGGAGCACGAACGCGTATGTTCATGACGTATACTGAACCGACAAGTTCGCCAGTCGCAACGAGTTTGTCGCAGCGCAGAACTTTCACTCCATCACGATCGAAGATGACGTCGTTGCCATAAGCAGCAGCCTGTCGAATGGAGAAAAGTTGATGGCGAGCTTCAGGCACATACCAGACGTCATTTAATACAGCAGAAGACCACCTGTCACCTATGTGAACGTCAACACTGATCTTGCCCGATCCGTAAGCCAAAATGAAATCCTTGCCGGCAGTTTGAATGCGTTGCGGAATCGGAAACTTGTCGAAAGTAATAAAATATTGTTTGTTCGCCGATATATGGTGCGTTGTGCCGGAGTCAGAAATCCAAGAATCGGCTGGAATGAAGTCTACGCTGACAGCCAGGCCAGTAGCGAAAAATGAACTTGGTGGATTGTGTTGTCCTGTATTCTGCTTGTTATCATTTACATTGGTTACTTTACTTTGTTCGTCTTTGTTTTGCTCTGCATTGGCACGCTTTCTGCAGTCTTTGATCACGTGACCTTTCTTTTTGCAATACAAGCACGAGCGTTTTTCTTTTGTGTTGACAGAAGATAAATCCTGGTTAGATTTATTTCGTTTCTTCTTTAAATCTTGATGTAACTTTGATTTTGCGAAGAAGGCGCCTGATGACTGCCATGGCTTTTGTGACGCAAATGAGCTTTCAATCGACCGCAAGTTTTCAATCAAAAGCTTAGTTGTTTGCTCCGCTTGTGGAACACGATACCAAGTAGAACGATAATACTGGTATTCCGGGCCGAGTGTTTTAAAAATCCTGTGATGAAGTAGGGACGACGGAAGTGTGGCATTTGGATTACCTTTTGCAAGCTCGTTGAGGATGTCATCGAACACGTTTGATAGTTGAGATACGTGTTTTGACACGGAAGTTGCGTCATCTTTTGTGATTTCAAAGAAGCTGTCAAAAAGCGTGTAAAGACGTTGCAAAGAGGATTGTTCGAACACTGAAGTCAGCGTATCCCATATATCTTTTGCGTCTGTCTTCTTGCGAACGTAAATAGACGCTTCTTCGTCCAGTGACGTACCTAAAATACGTGCCGCGCGCGCGTTATCCCGTTGCCAACGACGGTACGCGTCAGACGGTTCGGCGTCTGCCGCAGGTCCCTCGGGGCACGAGCGTGTACCATCGACGAGGGTAAACAAACACTGTTCTTTTAAACAAAGTTCGATTTGCCACTTCCATGTTTCCCACTGCGACTCATTTGACAACTTTCGAATGTTTGCTATAATACGGCCACTATCATCACCTTGCCCGGCATCGGCCATTATTTTTTTTTTTTTTTTAATGGCGTCAAGAATGTTCTCGCTCGAGATGCCGGTTTTCACACACAAAATACCGAAAGTATCGAAAACCGTTCGCGGATATGATTTCACCGCGTACCTGGGCCCATAACCTGTGATGGGAACGGGTTTATCGGTAATTAATAGTGAGATTGTGTAAGAACAAAGATTGATTTATTGAGCAATATTACACATTGCTTTGCATGGGAAAGGAAGGCAGAGACTAACCGACACACGCAGAAAGCCGACGGACGAAAGAAAAAGCAATCTATAGTTGAACCGACGCGACATCTGTCGTGTTACGACCATAGCGAATATGAAAAGATAGTTTATACTTTAACAGAATTAAAGAACATAAGAATGACATTCGGAAGCGCAATGGCAATCTTTCTGTTGTCAGTGAGCACCGCTTGAATTTGGAACACGAATTTGATTGGGAAGGTGTAGAGATCATGAATTCGGAGAGGTAGTTGTACAGACGACGCGTGGCTGAAATGCTCTACATTAAGCTACAAAAGAACAGTTTAAATCTTCAATCAGACACGGAATTTCTGCATGACTCATATTTACCCATCCTTGAAAGCTTACAATAATTGACTAAGTTAAATTTGCTTTTTTGTTTATAAAATAATTTGATTAATCAGTGGGCCACTGTGTTGTTTCTGCCGTTAGATAATTTATTATTTTAAATAATTTGTGCAGACGTATTACGTATTAGTAGCTTATTACTACACTGTACACATGTTTGACTTTGTGTTTGTTATTCGACTACGGTCCGCTGACACGTATAGAGGTATAATACACTGACGAAATTGAATGGAACCTCGATGTAATGTGCGATATAGATGTAACGTGTGATATCGATTTAATTTAAGTTCTTCATGTTCGAGCAGGTGAGTTTCTCATTCATCTTCGAATTCATATAATTATAGATCTAATAATGGCAATGTTTTAATCATTTAGAAATTCCTTCTATTCAATTGCCACAAGACCCGTTAATCTTGTAGACAAAAGAACTGAATACAGGGATGGATTTGCCACTCACTTGCTCAAATTAGAAGATTTCTCTATTATCTATTTTCACTGAAGATGGCCCGAATGATGGCTGAAACGTATGAAGATTAATGTATAAGTATAATATTATGTATTAAATAATTTATTGCACAATTCACCGCAAATTTGACTTTCATTAGCCTATTTATGTAATTTTGTTTGACATAAGTTTATTAAAAATTTAAGTTAAAACGACATGAATGTTATTTCTTTAATTTATAAACTTTTATATTTTTATTAAAAAATAAGATTTTACATATATAAATAGATATTTCTTTATAATAATAATATTTTTTATTGTTGTAAATTTTTTAATAATATTTAAATCAACAATCATCAGGCGCATCACTGCGAAATATAATTCTGTGTACCTAATTTAAACAATTTTTGCATCTTTTTTTACATTAAGCGAGATTTATGTTATTTCCAATTTTTTTATGAAATAGATTGTTAACTTCCTATATTGAAACAAAAGACTTCTTTACAAATTAAAGATAATAATTAATTTTGTCTCAGATTGTTCTATTATAGCAATTTTTTTTTAATCTGTTATAAAATTATATAGTACGTTTTTAATATAGTTTTTAAAAATATCGTATGCAATTTGTTATCTTTTATAAATTAATGAAGCATATAAAATTCTGTTTTTATTTTATCTCAATTTATTGTTTATATATGACCATTAATTAATATTTTTAATGTAAATAATAATTTAAAAAGGTAAAAATATAATAACAGAATAAAATAATACAATAATATAACAAGTGGAATAATGATTAACAACACCTTAATTTAAGCTTTAATGTCTCGTGAATATTTTCGGTCTACTATTACGGTCAACATACAATTGAAAATACTTCCTCAATGTTACTTGTTTCTTTCCTCGAAATATTTGGCTTCGTATAATCATGATGATTATGATGTTTCCGGTCACTTTAAATGACAGAAAATTCTACTTGCAGATGCCGAGTTTTGAATTACAGGATAATCCGTTAGCGCAAGGACACAGGATGAAGTGAATATCTTTAACTTCGATTTGTGAATTATCCGGGTAAGTCAAATTGGCCGTGATAGTGTCAGCATTTACTCGACATTGTTCACCTTTCTGTTGGAACGGCATGCAAGTCGGCCTTGTGTACCTCATAGGCCCTAAAAGGAATCAATAATACTCAATGCACCTGTTAAGAGTTCAGAATGTATGTACTTCTTTAACTGGAAATATGTACACTGTTAGAAATTTCTCAATAAATTTTAATTAACATGTAAAGGAAGCATGTGGTTATGCACGAAATTAAATGTAATGAATAATGTAAATAAAAACTAAATTACAGTAGTCTTAAATGTGATGAACGTGTGTATTGAAATTAATGAACACATTATTATAGAAATTAATTTACACGTTAATGAAAAGTACGAGATTTGTAGCTGAAAAGTAATTTACGTTAATGACATGTAAGAAATGTAAACGTATTAAACGTTAAGCGTTAATAGTATTAGGCTTAATTAAAATATTATTAATATTCGTAAATGTAAAAGTACATTAAATTTCATTAATATGTACATTAATAGTTATTTCAATTACGATTAATTAAATGTCATTTATATCCGTAAATGAAAAGTATATTAAATTTCATTACACTTAATTTTTCAGTTACTGTAAACTTAAATCTCATTAACATGTGCATTAATAGTCCTTTCAGTTACAGAGAAATTAAACTTCATTTACCAATATACATTAAAAGTTAATGAAATTTAAGAACATTTCTAACAGTGTATCTAGTATATTTATGTTCCTTCGTTATTAGAATGTTTTAAATATTACTATTTTATACACATATAAATATATTAATATTTATACGTGTATAAAATACAGGAAGGAATTTTATATCGGGAAAAATTTCTGGTTGAAAATAAACGAACCAGAAGATTCTGATTATGGCTGCGTTCCACTTAACACTCGCAATGCTCGCGAGCATCGTTTGTCCTTGTTTAACATTTGATAAACAACAAGGATGAAATGATTCCACGAGCGTTATGAGCGTTAAGTGGAACGCAGCCTAAATCAATCAAAATTCTAATTATCTTAACTAGAATTATAATAGATTCAACCAGAAAATTCTGATTTATCAATTTTCAACTAGAATTTCTATTAATGCAGTCAGCTCTCTTTCTAGAACACGGAGAAAATTTTATATTTAAAATTACTATAATGTGGTAGTAGCTGCGGTCTTCATGTAAATTATAAGTTTAAATGCTGTAGTTATTTTTTTAAAAACAATAATATAACGTAATTTTTACACTTTTTCATAGTAAAAATTTTTTATTACAAAATCAAATATACATAGCAAATTTTGTTTGCGTACCATAGTAAAAATTAACTGTTTTCATGTTAGAATATGGCTTAACAAAATAATTACTTTATTTATGTGATAAAAATTAGTATTACCATAGTAAAAGTTAAGTCGGAATCATGCTGTGAGAGTCCATCGAAAATACAAGACATAGTAAAGTGTAATTTAAAATTGTATTAAAACTTAATATAAAATTTTCTCCGTGTAGTATCATGCGTATTTATATATTAATCTAAAAAAATATTTTTTTATGCAAAGAGGCATTTTTTTTAGGGCACTTAAATTTGAACGTAAACAAAAAAAAAGAGAGACAAACCTAGCAAACAGCAGGAATTTGGTTCGCACTCCGTATTGGTCGCACAATTCGTTTGGAAGGCCGGAAAGGAAGAAGTCACAGGATCAATATTTGGAAAAACCACAATTGAAGTGATGAGTATGATTGCACTCAACATCGGCGACATAATTACTTGTTTAGATTTAACAATCTCTGGAAAATGAAAAATTGCATGGCAAAATAATTCTATGAAATAATTCCAAATCAGGAAACATTCGACGCTTTTTTATCTTATTATGAATAAATTATTTATGATAATTATTTATTATAAAGTAAAAATAAAAAATTAATTTATTATTAAATAAAAAAGATACTTGTTATATGTGTAAATAATAAAACGAGAGTTAATAATCTTTACTTAAGGTTTGTTCGCGTCGTATGCTCCGGCATGCTCCAATGTGCTCCTGCTATAGCTCCTACTCACTTCAACAAGCGCGTTAGAGTGAGTAAATGCTATGGTAAGAGCATTTTAGAGCATGTTAGAACATACGACGCAAACAAACCTTTAAAGATTCTTGATTGAATTGCCGATTCGTTCATGCAGTAAGTCTACAAACGCGCAATTAAAAGCTATTAATGAACGTAATAACGGCAGAAATGTTATAAGAATTATAATTAGTTCTGTATTAAATGAAATATTTCTCCCGCAGGACTTCCTCGTGGAATTTTCGCGAAAGCCGGCCGTGAATTTTCGATCGCGCCGTATGCGTCATCGCGCGTAAAAAGACACGCCACCGCCGCCTACGATTCTCCTTGCGCGAAAACAACAGACACGAACATATTACGAACCTGTCGTTATGAATCGTGGTCCACTGCTTGCCGCACACTGCTCGACGTATGATTGCGCGAACTGATGAACGCATCGTTTTATACTGCTGCGTTCTCTCCGCGTTCTGATGGCGTAAAAGGACGTGTTTCCATGTGCGAAATGTCCGATCAGGAACAATCGCCAAATGAAACAGCGATTTGTTTAGAGCGACCGCTTGTCGACTGAAAAGCTATTCTTACTTTTGGAAGCTTGGAAATTGCATCCTTTCTGCATTTAACCGCATATTTATTCAAATGATTTGCATTCTTAGGAAGTTGTTTAACAATCTAACTGGAGATGAGTTGAACAATGTATTTTTTCTATTTTTATTTGTAATAACTTTTGAAAACTGTTAGAAGTTATGTAATGACTATATTGTTTTTAGTTATAATGGGTGCTTTCTATTTAATGACGCAAATCGACACAAATATCGTTTTGCCGTTGTTAGATACTCATGAAAAGCAAAGAAAGATAAAACGATATTTGTGTTGACTTGTGTCACTAAATAGAAAACATAAATTACAATATTTATTGTAGTAAAACTATTATTTTATAAAATAGAAAATTGTGTTACGTTAGACACATGACACATGTTTGCGTGGTAAACAAAATTGATAAATTTATTGTTAATATAATTATGTCGTTAATAAATAAATCTTTATATTTTTTCTCTCGTTTCTAGATTGTAAGCACGGACTTCTATAACTCTATTATGTACCTACATTTATGTGTGTGAATCATACTTTTAGTATAGATTGGATGACAATGAACAATATATTAGATGGACTAATTGAAATGCTCAAAGACATTAGTGGGTCACACGCTGATTGCGTATATCGTTATGCAATCGAGGATTCGAAGTTTCCAGAATGCAAATTAATAAGTTCGCCAATGTGGGGAAAATTATTTCTGGGAAATTTCAAAGATATCTGCGCATTTTTTCTTCAAGACAAATTATCTAACATCTAAATTACCTTATTGTGACTTTTTAACATCAGTTTCTTAATCGCGCGTAAAATTTCTGAATCTCCAAATCATGCTGTCTTTTTGTACGATTTGCCACAACGAAAATTTGTTTATCATACTGTAGTTATAATTATATATACATTTCGAACATTTCTTCGATTCTATATAATTCTTGGTTTATAGTCCAAACATCGGAAAACTAATGTGCAACTACGTAATACATCGTTTTCTACTATTGTCTATATTTGCAGGCAATAATAATTATAGAAGAAAGATCAGCCGCAGGGTATATGTGCATATCCTACATTGCAAAGCACTTACACGAGCGTCAGCGTTTATCACAACCTGCGTAATTATGTATATACCTAGATGAAAGATTATTATAACTACAAATGAGCATATACATATTTATATGTCGGCTGATGATGAGTTAAAACTCACATATATATGTATAAAAACGTGGCAAAAATTTAACACATATATTGTGTGTATCAAGAATATAATAAATTACTTATTGATATTGAATAAATTATTGGTATTAAATAATTCATTATATATTTATTTAATTACGTTATACATATATTTCATTTAGTACTACTAATTAACATTTCACTATACATAATATTTTAATATTATTTAATAATGTTCATTAAAAGTAACGTTTGTAAAATATATCGGATTTGGATTAATTACCAAATTAATTAATTACACGATATAACTTTCGACATCTATCGTAATTTTCGGTCTTGTCACGCCAAGCTAGAAGTTTATAATAAATTATAAGTATAACATCCCCTACAGCATAAAATATTGTAGCAATATTTCAATAGTGTGTAATATTATAAGGGCCTACGCACAATAGAATAAATATTAGGAACAGGAACAAATGTTAAGATTTCAACTTACCAGTTACACAGGAATACACGGTTTTTGATAGGTTGAAATCTTAATATTCCCATACAGCACAGAAAGCTTGCAAAATGATTGCAGATATATCTCATTACAATGGTGTAATATTGCAAATAGATTGTACAATGTATTTGCAACATTGTTGCAATGTCATAGCATCATAAAAGTGTTCGCCTTCAGCAAGATTGCGCTGTAATGTCGTAGCAATGTTGCAGCGCAATGTATTTGCAACTATTATTAAAAATAGTTCTTTTATTATTATTAAATATAATTGTAAGATTAAACGAACTTACCAAGTAAAGTTTGATCTTAATTATGCCTCGTCTCGTCCGGATGGATAACTATGTAGTCATGTCCTCATGCCTGCATTACCAACAGAGTTCACAGAATCTAAAAGTTGAGGATGGCGCTGTCCGCTCCAGCGCCGTCGACCGCGCCACATCCATTGGTCATTATTTAAATATAACGAAGCAAATCAAATAACTGGATGGGAGGGAGCGTATAAACGCTCAGGGAGCGGAAGGTCCATCCGGACGAAACAAGGCATAATTAAGATCGAACTTCACTTGATAAGTTCGTTTAATCTTACAATTATGCCAAAGTCTCGTCCGGATGGATAACTATGTAGCTGTTCAAAGCGTGATTTGCGAGTAACTTCTTCTATTAAAGTCCAATAATTAATTATATTAATTAGGGGGAGTCGCCTATATCGTACCCCCTAACGTTTAAACAAAATTGTAAACAAAAATACTGAAGATATCAGAATATTTCTGTACTAATATTAAACTTTGGCCCATTGGCAATAAAACAATACGATACTTTTGCGAAAATAAACATTAAATTATTATTTAAATTAGATTTTTAAAAAAAGTAGCTTTCGGTACGATTTGGAGACCGAGTCGTTAAATTGTACCACCTGGTTCCTAAATCGTACTTCTAATATAGCAAACAAGCTGATATTGCTTATTGTCATTTTGATATTAAAATAACATCTTTAACGTCAAAATGACGGTGAACAATGTCAGATTGTTTACTGCGAAAATAAACAAAATTAATTTTAAAACTCATTTATTAATAAATTTATTTTTAATTTTAAACTGAGTATACATATTTAAGTAGGTATAATAAAAACTTTTCTATTATAAAAACAGAAATTAGATCTGTTTTTTAAACTCATTTAAGAAAACAAAGTAAAAAGCAATACTTAAATTGATTTAAGCTATCATTGCACTGTACTTCATAATATTAAAATTTCAGATGTTTTAAAAAAATAAATTTTTGAAATAAAATTAATTACGTATTTTTGTGTTACAATAAAAAAGATTCAATAGAAAGATTCAATAGAAAAATTTATTACAAAGATAGTTGATAAGTAATCAATAGTTCATAAGTAATCACTTTCTTGAGCGCTTATTTAAGGGGAGATATACACCTAGCATGGTTGAAAAAATCGATTTTTTTGCATTTTCTTGAAGCTTGAGGTCTCAAGAATATCTGGTGAAAATTGCAA